GTTTGGAGAACATTTGCAGAAACTGGCCTATTTGGAACAGACACTGCCCATTGGCAGGCAGTGGCAGATAAGATTAACCAGGTAAGATGAGATCAGATGGAGGAAGACACTGAAATCCAGGACAAGAAATCTGAACTTTGATGAACATTCACAAGAAGGAAAAGAACTGCTTTGTTCTTTTTGTTTATTTGGTTTGTTTTTGAAGATTGTAAAAATACTTTGGCAATGTAGACTGGTTCCTGCCTTCTAAAATTAGCTCACTGTTTCCCCACTACCCAGCTCAAATTACACTACCCTAGGTACACAACTCTTAATCACTTCTGTGAAGATAATGTCTCTACTCGTGTTTGTACTGGCCTCAGGGCTCCAACTGCCTGTCAATTACCTTCACAAGGTCTTCACCTATCCTACATTATCGGTCCAGTCTATAAACACTTATTGCCCATCCCATAACATGTGCAAACAAAGAATTTAAATATTATGCAATTCATGCCCTCAAGAAACTCAGAGTGCGATATAGGCAGAAGCCAATAAAATGAACTAATACAGCCCTAGCCGGTTTGACTTAATGGATAGAGTGTTGGCCTGTGGATTGAAAGGTCCCAGGTTCAATTCCAGTCAAGGGCACATGCCCAGGTTGTGGGCCTGATCTCCAGTAGGGGCATGCAGAAGGCAGCCAATCAATGATTTTCTATCATCATTTATAATTCTCTCTCTCTCTCTCTCTCTCTCTCCCTCTCCCTCTCTCCCTCTGTCCCTCTCTCCCTCTCTCCCTCCCTCCCTCTCCCTCTCCCTCTCCCTTCCTCTCTCCCTCTCCCTTTCCCTCTCCCTCTCCCTTCCCCTCTCCCTCTCCCTCTCCTTCTCCCTCTCTGAAATCGATAAAAATATTTCTTTAAATGAACTAATACAATACAGAGTGGTAACTACTGGAGTAGAGGAATGCTTGAAGTATTTGAGAGCTGAGGATAGTAACATCAGTTTGGAGATCAGGAAAAGATAGAAAACACCTAAGAGAAAGTGTTGACTGAACTGAGTCTTAAAGGAAAAGAAACGTCAAAGGGTGGGGAGGAGACCTGGAGATAACAGTGATTACTATCACACTGCAAAGGTTGGGCAGAAAGAGTCATACTCAGAGATTTTCAATCCCATATGGGTATATGATAGAAGTCATCAAGTACCACACCATGAACACCAATCTCTCATGCTAAGAACTTTATATTTTAGCATAGCAAAGTTTCAATAAAAAAATTTTTTAAATCACTTTGTGTTTCTTAAAAAATAGGACATGGATCGAAAGGGCACCACAAAACTTTTTTTCTTCCTAATATACAACAAAAATCTGATGTAGGCTGCTATAACAGTCAATTTATTTCCTGTTATCCATTCCTATCTCCAAAGTAGGCATAGCACACATCCTTCAGAAATAAAACCTCCCCTAACTTCCCAAACACATTAATCCTTCCTTTCTCAGAACTTCTAGGGAATATCTGTCTGCAGTGCAGTGTCAGCACCTTACATTTTTGCCTAATTTACATTTACATTTCTTCTCCCTAACAAGTATATAAGCTCCCCGAGAAAAAAAAGTCATATCTTTGTTTTAATGTTTGTGTCACACACACACACACACACACACACACCCCTACCTTTCTTTGTCCCTTAGCACCCAGCAGAGTAAGGTAACATTCTAAAACAGATAATGTCTGCCGAAACCGGTTTGACTCAGTGGATAGAGCAAGGGCCTGTGGACTGGAAGGTCCCAGGTACGATTCTGGTCAAGGGCATGTACCTTGGTTGCTGGCACATCCTCAGTGGGGGTGTGCAGGAGGCAGCTGATCCATGTTTCTCTCTCATCGTGGATGTTTCTAACTTTCTATCCCTCTCCCTTCTTCTCTGTAAAAAGTCAATAAAATATATATTTTTTTAAATAATAATAAATAAAACAGATAATGCCTTTGAACTGAATACATAGTCTCCTTTGTCCATGTGAAAATATTCTATTATTCCCCATAAACGAGGAACAAAATAAGATGTATAATTAGGCAAAACTGAGGGGAAAAAAACACTTAGTACAGTGACAGCATGGAATGTATACAAGGGAACTTTCTGGGAAGAATAAATTGTTCTAATTTATGATAGGTGTGTGCTACACTGTGGTGCCCATATATTTTATATATACCGTAAGTAAAAGTGCTCAAAGTCACTAGTCATCAAAGGGATGCAAATTAAAATGACAATGAGGTTTTACCTCACTCCTGTCAAAATGGCTACCATCATAGAAAACAGTATAGAGTTTCATCAAATAACTAAATAGGAACTGCCATTTGACCCAGTGATCCCACTTCTAGGAATATAGCCTAAGAAACCAGAAACAGCAATCAGAAAGAATGTATGCACTCCTATGTTCATAACAGCAATTTACAATAGGTAAGATATACTGACAGCCCAAGTGCTCATCAGTAGATGAATGGATAAAAAAGCTATGATACATTTATACCGTGGAATACTATGCAGCAGGAAAAAAAAGGGTCTCTTTCCCTTTGAGGCAGCATGGAGAGGACCTGTAAAGTATTACTACTTCGCCAAATAAGCCAGTCAGAGAAAGACAAGTATTGATGATCTCACTCATATGAGACAAAATAAACTGATTAACAAAACAGATCCAGAGCCAGGCTGGTGTTAAATCAGCGGTTGAGCGTCAACTTATTAACCAGGAGTTGTGGTTAGATTCCTGGTCAGGGCACATGCTGGGGTTGTTGACCTTTATTCCCAGTAGGGGGTGTGAAAGAGGCAGATGATTCTCATCATTGATGTTTCTATCTCTCCCTGTCCTTTCCCCTCGGAAATCAATAAAAATTAAAATAAAATAAAAAATAGATCCAGAGCCGAAACCGGTTTGGCACAGTGGATAGACCATCCGCCTGCAGACTGAAAGGTTCAAGGTTTGATTCCGGTCAAGAGCATGTACCTTAGTTGCGGGGCACCTCCCCAGTGAGGAGTGTGCAGGAGGCAGCTGGTTGATGATTCTCTCTCATCGATGTTTCTGGCTCTCTATCCCTCTCTCTTCCTCTCTGTAAAAAATCAATAAAATACATTTTAAAAAATATATATCCAGAGATATAGAAATATGGAACAAACTTAAATATCAGAGAGATGGGGGGAGGGAAGAAATCAACCAAAGAACTTGTATTGCATATATATGCATAATCCATGGACACACACAGATCATAGTGTGGCAAAGGCCTGGGGCAGGGGCAAAGGGGTTAGGGGCTTAAAGTGGTCAATGGGGAAAAAGGGGGGGACATATGTAATACTTTCAACAATAAAGATTTTTTTAAAATAAAATATATATAACTAAGATCTGTACATTCACTATATGCAAATTTTACCTAAAAACATATAAAAGGGATGGGGAGCCCAGAGCTATAGATGAAACAAGACTTGAAGAATGTTGATGATATTTCTTGGGTAAAGTGTAGAGGGTTTCATTATATTATTCTGCATCTACTTTTCAAAAATGTAATGTGTGAAAATTTCTGTAATAAAAAGTCATATTTAACTTAAATGGATAAAAAAAACTGCATTAACAAAACTAAAAAGTAACTCAGAACATTAAATTAGTTGTTCTCTTAATATTTGAAATAATGTGATATTGTAACTTTTAAAGTGGTTTAACTGGCTCTACAATTCTAAGAAATATCTTCTAAGAAAAACCTACTGTTGACTGCACAAACAAAAAAAGGCTGAGAAGCCACAGGTTCCTTAGGCACCAGATAGTAACATTAACTAGCCCTATTTACCAAATATACTCAAAAAAAGCCAGTACAATTTAGAGTTAGAATTTTTCTAATCTTCAAACCGTGATGCCAAAAGACAGCGGCTAAAAAGGCATTCATGCCGAAACCGGTTTGGCTCAGTGGTAGAGCGTCAGTCTGCGGACTGAAAGGTCCCAGGTTCGATTCCGGTCAAGGGCATGTACATTGGTTGCGGGCACATCCCCAGTAGGGGGTGTGCAAGAGGCAGCTGGTCGACGATTCTCTCTCATTGATGTTTCTAGCTTTCTATCCCTCTCTCCTCCTTTCTGTAAAAAATCAATAAAATATATATATATTTTTAAGGCATTCATGAGATTGTGGAAGTACAACATCTACAAACGACAGACTCAACACCATTCTTAATAGTTTTAAAATAATTCAGTAATTTAAACTTTAAGTGTAATTATAGGCTCATCCTTTGCAGTCCCTTCTCACTAGTCAGTTTCTGAAAGAAAAAAAGAATCTTGATCCTCACCTAAGACACACTTCACACTTGCAGAGCCAAGGGAGGGAAACTGGCTTTGCCAGGGCAGGCGTTCCCTGGCCAGCTCCAAGGTTACACCACTTTAGGAAGCAATTCTGTCCAGTGGTTCCCGATCGTTCCCGGACACCATTCTCGCAACTTTCAACAGCAACTGCTAAGGCATCGTGCCCGACCTCGTCGGAGCGAACAGCCTCCACCAACCCGGCAAGTCCAATCACACACACACACACACACACACACACACACACACCACACACACACCACACACACACCTACAAAGCAAATCCACCGAGTGGCAGGAGATGAGATGGCAGAACCAGAACACGCCCAGAAAGTTGGTAACAGAGAGGAGGTAGTCTGGGCAGACTCTCGGGTTCGCTAGCGGGCGCAGAGCACACAGGCTCCCGGGGGCAGAGGGAGGGCCAGGCCGGCGGGGGCGCCGGGAGCGCGGAGAAAGGCCGCGGCGCCGCGGGCACGGCCGGACGCCCTGACATTGGAGCTTGGCAGCGGCCGCGGCCGGCTCGCGCTCGCTCGCTCTCTCTCTCTCTCTCTCTCTCTCTCTCTCTCTCTCTCTCTCTCTCTCTCCCCCCCCCCCCCCCGCCTTGACCCCGTGGGGCAAAGGGACCGAGCAGAGCGGGGCGGGACAGACGCGCGGGAGCGTCCGCTCGGTCCCGGGCAAGCGGCGCGGTCGCGGGCGTCCTTACCCTGGCAGGCCGAGGGCGCGGCGCCGCTTGTGGAGCAGGCAGAGCAGCAGGAACGCGGCCCCCGCCAGCGAGGAGTTCCGCGCCGTCAGGTACTTGCTGAAGGCCGCCATGGCTCCGCGGGGACGAGCTGCACCCGGGCCGGGGGACGCAGCGGTGATTGCCTGAGTGCTGGCAGCGCGGGGGAGACTGGGAGGGGAGGAGCGCGGAGGGAGGGCGGGGCCAGCCGCGCAGGACCGCCCCCTGGCGCGCGCCGCCGCCGCCGCCGCCGCCGCTGCCGCCGCCGCCGCCGCCGCGCGCGGGAGCCCACCGCGGACTTCAGCACCGCGGGAGCGCGCGCAGGCGCGGCGGGGGCCGGAACCGGCCCGGGCGCTCTCTGCGCACGCGCGGACCCCCGCGGAGCCGCCGGGAACTCGGGGCGTGGAGAAACCCCCGAGCTGCCGGCGGTGCCTCCGGACTCCTCCGCTCGGTGTTCCAGCTCCACCCCTCCTCCCGCCTCCGCGCGCGCGCGCGCACACACACGCCCAGGCTTTCACAAGAACTGGAAAAGCGAGCCGGGCCTGCGCCAGGGATTTCGTGGGATCTGCCACTCCACCCCTGGCGAGGGGCCGTCACCACCCTCTTAAAGGAGCCCTGGGAGAAGGGACTGGCCCCATCACAGAGTATTTACATAAAACGGAGGGCTCGGTCATCATGCACCCAAAACAACTGTCGGGAACTCTGAAGTGTAAGGAGATGGGGAAATGACTACAAATCCAAAATCTATTCCCAAGCCTGTGTTTTCCAAAGCGTGGAGTGTAATTCCTAGGGGACCGTGAAATCAGTTTGGCAGATCGAGACCACTACTTCGTGTTTTAATGAAATGGGAAGGATCGAACAGGATATAAAAATGAATGCACCACGGGTAAATTTCGTTTGAAATTTTTATTTCAGTCTTTTGCATCTGTGCGTCCCAAGTAGGAATATAAAGATGCATTTCTTTACGTGGATGGGTCTGATCAAACAAAAAGTTTGAGAAACACTGTTCTTTGCAAAGAGGCATTCAGAAATAACAACAATTGTGCATTGTGCTAAACTGGCCTTCCTCCCAGGACCTGAAGAGCATTCCAGATTACAGCATTCTTCTCCTGCCTTGGCCCTAAAGATACAGAGATCGTGATTCCCAGCGTTTAGACTGGCATGTGTACAGCAACGTGATGAGTTCCTCTCTTCAGTTGAGAAAACTGGAGGAAAGCAAGTGTGTCATTCAGAAAATGAGTACATAAAACCTTGCACATAATATGCACGCATATTAAAGTAGCCTGTGTATTGAAGTAGCCCTCATTAAAATAGCCCACAGAACTCTGGTTTCAGTACAAGTGGGTAGTTGCCTAATACAGATGACAAGAATCACAAGGACCAGATATCTATACTAAGGGTGTATCTGTATGTGTACAGGGGTGTTCAACAGTCCAAATGTCAATGAACTAGAGCTTCTACTAAATTCTTCATTTGCCATTACCTCATTTAGCAGTTGTGATTAGGTAAACCTGGCACAGTGATACAGGAATGAACAGATTATAATCCCCATTTTGCAGAGGTGGTGAAGATGAAAAACATGGGGAAAATTATCAATATGGTAAGTGCCACATTAAAGGTGTCAGCAAGGCACAAAAGAATAATTTCTTAGTTTTTCTAAACCTAGAGCCTTTGATTCAGGCTTGACACAGAAGACGATTTTGTAGCTGAATCTTAAAGACCAGAGAAGTGTTAGGTTTGGTCAAGCAATTGAATTGATTACCTTCCCCCAAGAACTGGCTCTTCTGGTCATTTCACTATGGATATTCCCTTTGCTGGGACCATATTTCACTTGTGGTGACATTCCATTATCTCCTCTCCGGTATGCATAAAGAAGTCTCCACCCAGAAATAAAGCCCACCAAAAGTTCTTTAAAAGCCACTGACTCCTGTCACTGGGTGCTGGAGCCATCCAGGCTCAGCCACCTGATGTGCAATGATTGAAGAAATTTGTGATCCCTCACCATTCTGACCTCATGCATTCCTCCTTCGGTGACATAACAAGAAGAAGTTGCTCAGAAGGACAAAAAGGAAAATTACTAGTTGAGTAATAAATAGCTTAGTAATGTTAAAGTATTAGGAACCTTGGGAGAAAGTGACTGAATGAATCATTTTAGAGGAAGGAACAGCATACAAAATTAGCCTGAAATGTCTGGCCCGACCTATGTGGCTCAGTAGTTGAGCATCAACCCATGAAACAAGTCACCGTTCGAGTCCTGGTCAGGGCACATGCATTGATGGTTCGATCCCCCTATACAGGAAACAGCAGAGCAATGATTCTCTTTCATCTTTGATGTTTCTATCACTCTCTCCCTTTCTCTCTCTTTCTGAAATCAATAAGAACATTTTTTAATGTAGTCTGCATAGATAATAGACTATATTTCAGAGAAACGATACATTTAGGCAGTAGACTGTAGTTCACTGGGCAAGATATTGCAAAAGGTACCCTTGATCAAGAAGCATGGGTGATTCTAAAAAAATGAAATTAGGAAATATGAGCTCACATAATTTTAACTGTTCATAAAGCCCATCAGATAAAGATTTTCAGAGCCAAGCCTGTAACCCAACAAAGTTAGGTATATTAACTTGCAGCAAAGGACACCACACAGCAGAGAAATGGTGTGTCTCCAAAAATAGGAAGAAGCCGGGACCGGTTTGGCTCAGTGGATAGAGCGTCGGCCTGCGGACTGAAGGGTCCTGGGTTCGATTCCGGTCAAGGGCATGTGCCTTGGTTGCGGGCACATCCCCAGTGGGGGGTGTGCGAGAGGCAGCTGGTCGATGTTTCTCTCTCATCGACGTTTCTAACTCTCTGTCCCTCTCAATTCCTCTCTGTGTAAAATCAATAAAATATATTAAAAAAAAAAAAATAGGAAGAAATGGGGGTCATTATAGTATTAGGGGAAGGGGAGAGTTTAAGTAGGATCTGAGTGAAACTGTACTTAAGAGACTCAGGTCTGTATGTAAATGGGTTAATATCAGACCTCAGTTGACAAGCAGACTCAGGGTCCTTTTCCTTGGAAACATAAATTTAAGGTTAATGTAGAATATTGTGTCCTAGAGTCCTTATCTGAACCTATGCACTCACTCTAAATTGAGGCTGCTTCTCTAAGTGAAAGTGATTTGGGTAATTTAACATCTCCCAGGCAAGAAAGGAATGCTCTGGTCACCCTAATATGAGTTCCAAACAACCAAGTTCTGATAACCTACGTTTTTAGGGAACAAGTTTTCTCAGCATTGTCCTTTGATAGTTACCAAAGCAATTGTTCTGGCCCTAACTGGTTTGGCTCAGTTGATAGAGTGTCGGCCTGCAGACTGAAGGATCCTAGGTTCAATTCTAGTCAAGGGCATGTACCTTAGTTGCAGGCACATCCCCAGTAGGGGGTGTGCAGGAGACAGCTGATCGATGTTTCTCTCTTATCGATGTTTCAAACTCTCTATCCCTCTCTCTTCCTCTCTGTAAAAAAATCAATAAAATATATTTTTAAAGCAATTTTTTTTCTGGCTCACAGTTCATAATACTGAATAATTAAGAAAAAAATATAATTTTATCAGTAGATCTCCAGGAGCTCTGACTTTTATAGAGTTTGACCTATCAAGAATAGGGAAGAGAAGGTCATATAGAGTTAGGGACTCTAGAGAACCTCATAAGAGATGTTGTGTTAGCCAGCCTCCAACACTGTCCTCAGAAATCCTTGCTTCCTGACATTCATGCCCATTGTAATCTCCCTCACATCAGAGCTGGTCTGTGTGACCAAAAGATTAATATGTGTCTTCTGAGGCCAGATCATAAAAGGCCTTGTGGCTTCCACCTTGGTCTCTTTGCTTCCTTACTCGGGGAAGCCAGCTGCCACAGAGAACACTCAAGCAGCCTGGAGGAGAATTGAGGACTCCTCCCTTCTCTTTCCCCCCAAGAGACAGCACCTGCTTGCCAGCCTTGGAAGCAGGTCTTCCATCCCCAGGCAAGCCTCAGACTGCTGCCTCAGGAGCAGCCCTGAGCCAGCTGGAGCAGCCAAGATGCTCCTAAATTCCTGACTCACAGAGACTGGAAGATAATAAATATTTATCATTATTTTAAGCCAAGCATGTCAAACTCAAGGACTAACAAGGGCCAAATAAACAAGGTTTCAGTTTATATGGGCCGCAAAAAAACAAAGGCTTCAATTTTCATAGAAATGTAGGTTTATTTCCATAGAGACATACTGAATACAAAGAGTTGAAATCAATGAGTAATTGTTAACATAAAATGATAGAACATTTTAATAAAAATTAATGTTTTTTCTTGAACATCAACTTACCAGACACTGAATAACTTACAAAGTAATAAGTGTTGTGCAAATAAACCTTTTTTTCTTGTTCTCTAAAAGCGAAATATTTCCTGTTGCACACACCAAACAAGTCATTCCAAGACTAATGGCAATCAGCTGCTAAAATATTTGCTGCTAGTATTAGTGGAGAAAACTGGTGCGCCTGTGCATAAGGTGAGTAAGGGAAATGCAACGATTACAGTCATCAGTCATTAGTGAACATTGTAGTTCGTTATTAATAATTATGTGTAACAGGATATTGTAAAAATTAAGTTATAAAACTTTTATTAAAGCATTTCTTACATATTGGCTGGGCCTCAAAATATTTGTGGGCTGTGAGTTTGACATGCTTGTTTTAAGTCACTACATCTTGGGGTAATTTTTATGCAGCTGGTGTGATCTGGGCCACACCTTGAAAAATAGAGGAAAGAAGTTCTTTGCTCTCATTATATCTAAAGTCCCTTTCTTCTGGAGAATTTCTTCTGGAGAATTCCTTAATTCTCCCATGGTATGGATGGAAGTTCAAGGAAGGGTGTGAAATGGAACAAACAGTTGAAATGTTTAATGGAGGTCAATATTTAATGGAGTTAATTATTTAATGTTTAATTCAAGTTCAGGGTTGAGTAGTAACCTCAGCTTCTATTTAAGGAAGACCATGTTAGTGGCAATGTGTAGGATGGATGGAAGGAGGAAACATCAAGCACAGAGAACAGTTTGAACACTTGTGATCATCTGAGTCAGGGCAAAACAGAA